AGTGTGACTTACCTATCTTTATTATTCCTCATATCAATTCAAGATAGCTGTATATAAGAAAATACTCAATTTAGAGTGGCTTAACCAAATAGTTTTGTATTTGTCATGTAACAACTAACTGAAGTAGGTAGCCCAGGGCTGATATGGAACCTTAAGATATCATAGAGATCCAGGATATTTTTCCTTGAGCTCAGCCATCCTTAGCTGTGGCCTTTATCCTTATGCTTGTCACTTCATGGTTATAAGATGGTTGCTCCATTTCCAGCATGACTTCCTGATTCCAGGAAGGAAGACGGGAAGGACAAGGGATGGGAGAGTTTGCCTCCTTTTTAAGAGATTTCTAGGAAGGCCTACCTGGAATATTATTGACCAGAACTCTGTCATATGAAACATCCTAGCTGCAAGAGAAGCTGGTAAATAGAGTTTTTCAATGGGTATTTTGACACTCTGAACAAAGCTGTGTTTCTGTTACTATGTGTGAGGAGATGAATGGACAACCAGTAGTAACTCTCATATCCTTTAATCCTTAGGGTTACATGTGACAAAAACTTCGCAGATTGTAACAGAATTTTACATTACACATTTCATTGTAGTATTACCTCTAGTGAGATGCCTTCTTTTTTTACTGTCTTTTTGTTATAAAAATAATAAAGGCTCATTATAGAATATTTGGAAAATACACAAAGATGTAATAATTAAATTTTTCTTTAAAACTTTTTTTAAAGCATTGTTTCACAATTTTTTTTAAAATTGTACTTTAGATGATGGTTTACAGAACAAACTAGTTTCTTATTAAACAGTTAGTACTTCTATTATTTTATGACATTGGTTAACAACCCATGACATGTTAACACTCTCCCTTCTTGACCTTGGGTTCCCTATTACCGGCTTTCCTGTCCCCTCCTGCCTTCTAGTCCTTGCCCCTGGGTTGATGTGCCCCTTTAGTCTCGTTTTGTTTTATGGGCCTGTCTCATCTTTGGCTGAAGGGTGAACCTCGGGAGTGACTTCATTACAGAACTAAAAGAATGTCCCAGGGCCATACTCTCAAGGTTTCTACAGTCTCTTCCAGG